CATTGAGACCACTAGTAATCAGAATTATTATTGATGGGGATGTATTAAAATATACCACTATGCCATCTCTAAGTGATTAAGCAAGATGATGGAATACTGTGGAAACAATTCACAAATTCAATGCCTATATTGCCTGATACTCAAGTTATCCAAGCTGTGTCAAAAAGAGAATGAACATAAGGAAACAGAGACTTTCAGGCCCTGGGAACTTTCTCATAGAAATTTGCAACAATGGTGACAGTATGCACAAGACCCATGCCGACTCAATCAGACAAAAAACCCAGCATAGAATGGGGAAAAGGGGCAGCAGACCCCAACCCTAGCCAAAGGAGTATTGGCGCCTGATTACTGCTGGTTGAGGGAGAGTAGATATTCTTTAAGGGAGTGACTCTACATAGGTTGATTAGATTCCAGTGGATGAACTTGCACTCTGAGGGACATCTGGGTACAAATGCTTGATTGAATAAGACTTAATATATATGACAGAATGCATGAAATCTGCTGGGGGTGGTTATCAGGGACATAGATGAAGGAGGGGGTCTAAATTTGATTAAGATCTATTATTTGAAATGCACAAAAACTAAAAAAAAATCAAAAGAAAAAAGGGGAATCTTCTCATAATTCTTTTGAGCATTTACAACTTATACTCTGGAGACTAAGCACAATTCACCATTGAATAGGAACTCAGTAAATATTGCCTGTAAGTTTTCAAGAATTCACTTTAGTAGGATGATTTTCAATCCCAGAAGATGAGAATCATTATCTTTAAACTAATTACATCAGAATTTCCAGGGGTAAGACAGTATTTCTGATATGTGTTTTAGGAGTTCTAAGATGATTGTAATATGTAGCAAGTGTTAAAAACTACTAAATATGTCCTAAACAATAATAAAAACTAAAAATATATATAACTACACACACATGCACACATACATGCACACACATATAAATATATACTAACTACACATAACAATATTGAAGTCTGAAAAAACCCAATTATTTGTTTGCTTATAGGGCTAGAAAAGGCTGGAAATGAAATAATCTCATGGATGCTTATTAAAGATATAGACACTTGACCAGAACATGTTTCTTAACTGTTGAGGTAAGGATGTGGTGGTCTAGATATACGAAACCATGAGGAACTAGAGAGAGTTTATTATAATTCCTGATTTTACAACCAAGTTCTAGATAGGAATCTACTCTGCATCCTAGAAGCAGACAGCCACCTCAAATGTACATATAATTATGGTGTCTGTGTTCTCACAGGTCACAGTCTTCTATTTTGATCCACATCAGAAATAGTATTAAGTATATGAGATGGAAAATAGGTTGCTAAGGCATATACTTGTCACCATGACCATAGGCTATGCTTAGTTCATGTTGCTGCCCATGTGAATTGAGCTGTTTATCAGTCAGATCACTAAATTTGGGAGTGAGGTTGGTAGATATTATCCTAGTTAACTAGATAAACTGAGCCAACCCATCTCTTCAAGGATTTGGCTGAGATTTCTGTGTACCTAATATAGAAAATAGTTCCATTCCAATCTGTAGGACTGACAGAAAGAAACCCTTCTTCCATATATCTCCATCATGTCCCTCATCCTGCTCTTTACCAAGACATGTGCTATATAAACAGAGTAGGAATGGTTATGGCTCAATTTGTTAGAGAAACTGTTACCCTGAACTCAACTTTGGTGTGCTTATCTGTGTGTGAGAGTGTATAAAGGTGTTTGTGTACATGTGGAGGCTAGAGGCCAACATCAGGTGATGTTCCTTCAGAGGTGTTCACCTTGATTTTGTTTACAAGATTTGTTTATTTCTTGATTTATGTATATTAGTGTTGGCCTGTATATTTATATGTGTGCCACATGCATGCCTGGTGGTTGTGATGGCCAGAAACAGGCATCAGATCCCCTGGAAATAGAGTTACAAATGATAGAAATAGAGTTACATGTGAGCTGGAACCAAACCCAGGTCCTCTGCTGAAATACTAAGCGTTCTTAGCTGCTGGGCCATTTCTCCAGACCCCTCATCTTGATTTTTGAGACAGGGTTCTCAACAGGGCCTGGGACCTTTTTGACTGCGCTGACTGACCAGAGAGACATGGGGATCCTCATGTCTCTCCCTCCTCAGCACTAGAATTAAAAACACAAACCACCATGTCAAGCTTTTTACATGGGTGCTGGGAATCAAACAGTTTCTGATGTTTTCATGCCAAGCACTTTACATATGGTAAGCTGTTTCTTCAGTACCTTAATAGCCTGGTATATCTATCAGGGTCTGTAACAGCAGGATGTGCTCAGTGAAAGGAACTGTGCTCAGAACAAACCTCAAGGACTGCTCAAACTTTGTGCTGTCACACAAATTATAATTCCTTGCTCAATATCAATTCAGCTTTATTCCTCACTAATGAAACTCTACGTCTTGTCCATGACATGTATAAGCTGAAGGTTCCTGGGAAAGATTCTTTCTTGATGGGGAACTACACCTTCCCAGATTCCCTTTCATTCTTTCTTTGGATAAATGTGGAAATGATGCCTTGAACTAGAACAGTCACTTAGAATTGTGAATAAATGACTAATTAACCAAAAAATATTGGTAATTACAGAGACTTTAGCCATAGCCTGGAAATTGCTATAAGGACCGTGCTTGACTGTGCTGATGTTTTTGAGTTATTCAAACAATTTCTATAAATTCTGTGTTCAGACTTCAAATTTAAAGAACTTTCATAATGTACTTATACTGCTATTTTCATAGTGGTGAATGTTGTGAATGTTAGGTGCCAACCAAATCTATTAGGGGTATATTTTAAGATGAACCTGCAGCATTGAAAACAATACCTCAAAAAATATTAAGAAATGTTTCACAAATGAGTTCAGAACCAAGTCAGTCCAACAAATATTGAAACAATCTGGAAATATATAAGAAAAACTGAAAAACGAGGCAAGAAATAAAAATGGGGTTGGGGAAAGCAAGACGTGCGTGTTTGGACGTGAAGGTCATAGAGTAAAGGCTTTCTCTTAGTGCGTCTTTGTGTGCCTCTCCAGGTCATGGGCATACTTCTGAAGACACCACATTATAATACGGAAGCATGAATATTAGTGTCATGGAAGAGTGATTAAAATATAGTATATTTTAGAAAAGCTTTCAAAATTTAGAAAATATGACAAAATATGAGCATTTTCAAGTCTTAAGAAAATTAATTGTGGAAGCTTGTGATTAGAGGATGCATATTTTCAAATAAAGTGTGTTAGCTCATCTGGAAAAATATAAAATTGAAAGTCAATGGAAAATTTGGATGATTCTTTGTAAGAAGACAACACAAGTATTTGATATTAATGCCAAACATGAAACCATACTATCCACAATTGGAAGATGATGATTTGGAAGGTTAATATATTTACCATCATCTACAGTGTTCAAACACATGATATTTTATAGGGGATTAGGAAGGGCATGTATACCCGGCCCCATGATTTTGAGGTTCCTAATAACCCAGAGTTTAAACCCCAGAGTGAGTGTGTGGGGTGTCATCTTGATCATTCTGCAATAACCTAACAATAGAAGTGCTTCGATAAGTACTGAAAGTTAATATAGTATAAATTTCTAATACAGAAGAGTCAAACTTCGTTTTCTATCTCTTTTATGTGATAGTTATCTAAAAGCAGAGGCATGCTGTGTATGTTGAGACACTATCAAAGGTGTCACTTGCCCTCTTCCTGCTTATAAACCCCCAATCTCTCCTTTAGATTTATATCACTTTTCTTTTTCTGTCACTGTATCTGATTTCAAGTCTTTTTTTTTTTTTACTATTATAGTGAGCCATGATTCAGCTATATCTAAGAGGAAATTCTGTGTCCTAGCAAGAATGACTGTTTCTACCCATTCTATTGATTCTCAGTCACACAAACGTTTTCATTACACAGGCTGACAAAGAATTATCACTCCAAGACTGTGTCTATTTATCTCCTTTTCAGTGATGCACAGTGTCTTTTTCACAGCATGAGTTTAATAATGCTTGGGAAACTGAATCTTTGTAGTAAAATCCAACCTCTAACATATCTCAAATTAGCATCAACAGTGGTTCATTAAAGTATGCACATATAACCCAGATTGGACCATGGGGATGTGAGGAGAATCTTTTTACGCATGGGGGGGGGTTACAATGTGATATATATTTGCAATGTTGGCAACTATGAAAGAATTCCAGACTCCAAAGAGGGAAGTGATAGATGCATGTAAAGAGAGAGCGAAGGGAAATACAGAGACAATAAGCCCCAGTGGTGATACTGGGAATTGCTACATGAACCACCACCTTGAGGATTCTGTATGAGAACCAAAGTGCCCTAAAAGATATAAAGACTCAAACTAATCCAAAGATGGCATTGACAAAGCCTTGCATAATTTTTAAAATTTTTATTAATCTCAGCTCAGTTTCCTTCCAAGCTCCTCCTTTAGACATTTTCCTTGTTTTATTCTGAAGCATCTCCCAAACAAGTCATGGTTTGCACATACACATGCCTCTAATTTAAGCTCTTTCTTCTATTGGATCATCCATTTGTTACTTTTTTCCACATACAAGTATCTTTTCATTTTCTGCAATCTTTTCTCTCCTAGACTTCATTTCTGCATCATCAGTGGCATATAATTTCTTAGTAACGTATAATTGTAACACATGTTTAGGGGATATCATATTATTTATGTGTCTGCCTTTCTTGAACTTTAGAGACTGTAATTTAGCTCGTCATTTTAAATCAACTAAGTGTCTCATTAGTAAATTAAGAGCAAAAAATAAATGGATAGACTCTAGTTCTTAATCCTAGAAAAGCATAGTTCAGGTGACTACACATAGCTTTATTATGAGACATTAATATTTACTTTGGACTGTTCAATAAAATTTAACTCATTTCCCATCTATAAATCCATATTTTTAACCTACTGGGCAAGACAACACCTTTTTTTTAGCAACACACTTTAGGATAGACACACTAAAATAAAGAGACTTCTCAAAAGAGTTTAATGTTTAAAGAGAGTGCCAGTATTCTACACATATGAGTATCTCACAAGTTTAATTTCTTTTCATTTAAGGAAGGTTGTGGTGTATAAACATTTTACAAAGCTGATTTCAAAAAACAATGATTTAAATAATCTGTGCTTTAATGTAAAAATGAATCATTAATTTGCTCAGTTTCTCATATTAACATGTTTATTAAACATTTTAGTTCAATAATTTCTTAATCTTACATCATTTAACTTTGAGATGAAGCTAATACCAGTTCTGTTCATGTGTATGTATTTTGGATTTTTTAAACAACTTTGAGTCAAATGAATGCTACTGCCATTAAATTGTGCTTGGAGCAAAGACGAAGAAACAACAGCTCACCATTTCCAGATAGTAAAACTAATGATGTAATGTTTGTTACATTATTTTAATGCTAATGCTAAATATTCTCATTTTTGCTTCCGTTTGTTATTGAAGTTCAATGGATCACCTCTGAACATTAGTAATTTTCACTCAACTTGGACTTAAATATTGGCTTTTTAATATGGGCTCCAAAAGAAATTCTCAATAAATCAAGATCGGCATTTCGCTTCCTTTCCCTATCTCTCAACCATAAAATTTCAATCTTATCATGAAATCGGTGTCGGAATTATAGCTTTCTAAGATAGCTTTTTAAGCATTAAAAAATTATGCCTGCATCAGAAAGGGGAATAAAAGTCCCCAGTGTTCTGAAGGAGCATGTGCTTTTGGCTTGTTCCCACCTTTTTCTTTTTTATTATAAAGTGGCAATTTGTACTATCATTAGAAATATACATTTATATATAAAGTTTTGCATTCAAATCTCTTTATTTTTGATTACCTAACTAAAGTTCACAGATCAAATAAAAACTTTATATAATATATCCTCATTTCAGAAGCATATACATATACACATATATATTTGTAGAACAGTCCACAGTTTTAAATGTGATTCTGACTTAAAAAATGTTATTTACAATCTTATCACAGAGTAATACCTCAGCCTTTAATGGTATTAAAATGAGTAGGGAAATTTGATGTCTGACTGTGTCTCACCTTGTGTAGATAAAATTAAACAACATCATGGAAAACCTTCTGAAGAGCAAGGCCCTAAAGTTTAACCCATAGGGTGCAAGGGTAGATTTTCTACTTCTGGGTCAGTATGTTAAAACATAAATAATCTCTGTTGTAGATATAATTTATTTTAGCCAGTGGTTCCAGACTGAGACCTAAAAGCTTTCTAATACACAACAATCAAGCTATCCTCCATCCTTTACTCATTTTGATCCTCTAACTCTTCCTTGTGGCACAGCAGGATCACCAACTTGGAAATAATACCTTGCAGCTATTATCATCTTCTTAAGTTTGGGAATTCTTCTATACACGTTTTCTGAATTAGAAGGAGGCTCATGAAAAAAATCACATTGTGCTACACTGATGTCTAGCTATTGTGGCAATCCATAATAGCTAAAAATGTCTTATGAACTTCATGTGTACAATTCAAAGTCAAACCCATCATATGATCAAGAAGAGAATGGCTTCTGGGTTGCAGTTTCCTGAAGCATTAAGTCTCTAAATTAGCAGGTGGAACCTCAGTACCAGTTGTTCCTGCACCTTTGTCTATCTGGAATTTCAAGTACAGAATGTTGACCAGGAAGCAATTTTGTGAGACTCACCAAACTTTTGTTTTCACTATCATATCATGCCTATAATTTAAAACATAAGGACTCCAGCAACCCTTTGCTAGAGGCCTTTCCTGGGAATACCCTCTTGTATTTTTTTGGAAAAAAAGAAAAACAAAACCCATATTGTATTTAAAGAAGAACAGGTGATAGATGAGTTGAACCTAGAAAGTAGGATAATGAAACCACAATGAAAAGTTGTTATACTTGAAACACAACTGAACAACAGCCGTTAAAACTCATTCATGTCTTTGAAGGACAGAGCATGATTACATGTTTATATTTCTTAATATAGTTTGAAACTGAAGACAGTGAATACTGACTCTATTAGTGATTTTAATGTAATTAAAAAGTAGTGAGATGTTAAACAAACGTTTACCCTATGCACTAAACCACAGTATTTGTCAGTTTAAGCATGAAATTAATGTGAAGCTTCCGATTCATTCTCTGAAATCAGCTGTAATATTTTTAAAAGCTAATTTCCAAAATAGTTGGTGCAATAAATATTTGCTTAGCAGGATGTGGAGAGCAAACAATACATAAATTGGGTGATCAGAAAGCTCCTTCTTAACTGTTGTCAGTGTGAGGACAACTGTGAGTCTGGACGATGAATAATGGACAAGCACTGAAAATAGAGAAGGGTTTTTATTAGAGATTCATCACAGTATTATATTTTTCATAAGTAACTGGATTAAGTATCTTCTGTCATGAAATCTTCAGTGAGATGGGTGACTGTAAATCAGTCAATTGTGTTTCCTGTGAGACCCTTAGCTACGTTATGGTTGAGTAAACATATCACCACAAACGATCCTGTCATTTCATGCTAAAGGAGCCCATGTCCCATTTTGTTGAAGCCTCTTTTTTATTTTTTTAAATAAAGTAAGGCTTTGTGCTTGGGATTTGTTTGGTCCTTGAAGTGACAGGTGTATTTGTAATTAAGTTGGATCAACAGTGACAATGAATATACATCCAGATTTGTATCTTCACATGGTTATTCTTTTCCTAAAAGAACAACACTCCTTTTATAAAAACTAAATGTATTTGTTACTTTCCATATATTCTAGTTTAAAATGTGTTCAAAAGTCTTGCCTCTATGCATAACATTTATTCTTGCTAGTTTTATAGGCAAACTCCTCCATTTCATTATCTGATACCTTCCAGAGAACATAAATACAGTGCTTGATAAAGGACAAGAATCACATTGAGGAATAATGATTGTGTAGAGTGAGGGACACTACATTGACCTTGAAAGAATATAGCAACCAATGTGCAAGGTTTGAGGTGAGGGCCTAAATCTTCTGCAGAGTGTATATATTTTAGGGAGTCATAGTTGGGATAATACATGCTGGACAGTAAAGATATAGGAGAAGTTACATGCTAAGTCTTCTCATTAATAATATCCATAAATCTGCATACATTTGAACAATCAGGTTTGTTTTGTTTAAATTTGTGTTCTATACCATTCCTGATTTGTAGGGCTAAGCAGATCTACTTATTTGAATGCAGTGGTTTAACTCCATGTCTTTGCTAATATTTTCTAGTACTTTTAGTATTCTTAACAGTGTGTTTGGTTGCTCTTACACTGAGTTCTTTTTCATTACTTTCAACTACCCTCAAAACCTTGTCTATTTGAATCATAGCTGTTAATTCCATGTTTTTTCTCTGTCTCTTGAAAAGTCCACCTATACTTAGTGACCTTCTGTGTTCTAGAAGACAAAATTGTCAACTAGATTTATAAATGTGAATAAATATCAACAAACAAGCCACTGTCTTCACAGGATGGGTAAGTTAGGAATTTCACAGCCATGCCTCCCAAGTTCTCATAGAGTTAGGAAAATGTTCTGCACACAAAACTGGCAATGTAAAAAGGATTTAAATTTGCTTTGATCTGGTCTCTGACTTATTTCCTCATGCAAAATCCATCATCCTCTCTTGCTGCAAGATATGGTTCAAAACCTCCCAAGACAGCTAGACACTCACCTATACTCTCAAAGATGTCCACAAATCAAAATAAAGATCAAATGGGAAAAGTCACTTATCCCTCATGACCTGATCACCTGAATACGACAATGACAGAGGGTTCCCCAAAAGTCTCCTCAGCAATGCAATAAGACCTTTTTCACTAAATGTCTAAGAGAAAAAGAAACCATGGATCAATACCTAGTTAAAAATAAAGCATTCTCCTAGGAGAAATGGAAAGCAGCTAACACCATTAAACTCAACACAAGCCTAATCTTTTACATAAAAATCTTTTCAACATCAAGAATAACTTTTAAAACTTTTCTTCATGTTTAATGGTTTCTGCTATATATCTGATAGGCATTAGAAAAGTAAATTTGACTAGTTTAATTTCATGATCAAAAGAATAACCTGCAAACAGGATGTAACTGCGTATCTTTTACAGATGTCTAAAGAAAACACAAAGATGAAACAAAGCCATACATCACAGAGTTCTCAAGAACTTAAGGAATTTAGAGTCCAACAACAATTTTTGATTTTCTGAAAATCCCTTCCATCATCCAACAACCATGTTTCATCTTTATCATAGTCATCTCTTGTTAACATTCAGCCCTCTATTAATAACAACACAGTTAAATTTAATGTTTGTGGAGTCCTGGTTTATTTTTCCTTTGCATTTATATGTGATAATTCTGCATGTGAATTTCTACCACATTGCAACAGGCAAGCTTTGGTTCAATTTTCTTGTCTTACACAAAGGAAGATTTTGAGTGCAGAATCTTAGCTACTAAGTCCTGTGTTGCCATTTTATTTTAATTTTCTCTCTCCTTGGGCAGATTTATTGGAAAAAGTGGGGAAAGGGGAGGGAGGAGAAGGGGAAGGGGAGGATGAGAGGGAAGAAGAGAGGAGTTTTCAGCTATGTTGAATCCTGATTCACGACTTTGCCTCCATTCATGGTAGGTGTTCCAGAACTCTTCCTCGAACGTCCTTGCTTTTCTCCAATTTCATGTAGGGATGGTTCTCTGTACATACACACTGGAAAGCAAAACCACAACAATTACTTATGATAATCAACATAAACTTGGCTTCAATGAACTTCTTCAAATTTTATTTTAGGATAGTTTTCACTCTTATCATGAGCTTTGCTCCCCATTGTGAAGAGACTTAGCATATCATCAGTGGATACACATGGTTATTTTCCACACCTATCAGTAACAATCTTTTAAGTCTTTCTGAACAGTAAGCGTAGGAGTTGTTCCAGTTTTCTGAAAGATAAGGCTTGAGTCAACACAGTGTCCTAAACTTTGTAACAGGATTTTTTCCAAGAGATATTGGAAATACAGCATGTAAAAGTAGAAATATTTATTTTGGTTTTCGGTCCTTATTCCAAAGTCTAGCTAGTTTCTGGAGGGGGTTATTTACTGACACCCTCCCAATCTTTACCCCATTAAAATAATCAGGACGCTGTTGTGGCTAACTGAATTTTCATGGCATCTTATGTGATATTTGGGTCAGTATAGAAAAGGAAAACAAAATTCAATATATTTCCTTAATTGACCCAGAGTTCCTTCTCCATTCATGAACATAGTCCCTGAAATTTTATTCTTCAACAGGGAATGTGGGTATGTAATTTAAGATTAAATGGACATCTTTGTAAATAGTCCCTTATTTCCTTTATCATTTAGAATGGCTGTAAGGCTGTCATCTGTGCAATATCATGGTTGTAACTAGATTATTGACTAGCATGAACAGGGTATTCCAATTCATAGCTATTCTTATGAGAGATAGGATCAATCACCATACTGAGCCCACTCGTTCAGCTTCATTAGGCTGCTGTGATAGAGACAAGCATGTCTGCACAGGTGTATTTCACTAAGGTGTCAGGAATTACTTTCCCTCTTGATTTAAGAACAAATAGGTAAATTCTTCTATTACCACTGCAGTGGTTTAGGAACTTAAGATTGTTTCCAACATCAAATAGATACCTCTCTTGAGCATGAATAGGAAAGACCACAAATTCATTAGCCATGCCCTATCGTCCACATATTTACTCAGCTGCTTACTAGCAATGTCAACTTGAACACATTTTTATAACTGAAAAATGGCATTTTTACTAACATTGGACATATAGTATCAAAAAGGTTTAAGAAAATTAAAAAACATCTCAATTTGTTAAAGGATTAGATAACATATTTTAGAGAATATAATATAAATTGTTTTGCCCTATGGAATTCCACCAAGTACACAATTAAGAAAATACAAGACGCTTCTCCCAATCTTAGTTCAGTGAAGACACAGGTTTCTCACCTTACCTGCTAGCATGCATCTGGGGTGAGTAGGGGCATTGCTACAATATGAGTTATGAGTCATAGGTCTATGGTGGGCTTGGGAGTCTTCATTTTTAATAAGCTCCTGGTGAAATTCAGACTATGCTCTCTGAGTAGTACAAAACATAGCTATGGAATATAAAGAGTATGACACATACATTTTTTTGAATGAGATTCAAAAGTATTTCCAATCTCTTACCCCAGCTAGAATGGCTAAGGTCCAAAAAACAAACAAATGCTGGCAAGGATCTGGAGAGAGGAGAACTCTTATCCATTACTGATGGGAATGCAAAGTGGTGCAGCCACTATGGAAATCCATATGGAGATTCTTTTAAAAGCTAGAAATTGATCTGCCATTGATTAGGCCACAACTCTTGGACATACACCCAAAAGATTCTTTACTTTACTACAGAAACACCTGTTCATTCATGTTCATTGATGCCATTTTCATAATAGCCAGGAACTGGAAACAAGCTAAACGTCCATCAACTGATGAGTGGATAATGAAGATGTGGTACATATATACAATGAAATATTATTCCTCTCTTAAAAATACCAGAAATTATGAAAATTGAAGGAAATATATAGAACTAGAAACAATCATGCTGAGTGAGGTAACCGAGATCCAGAAAGACAAATGTCACATGTTCTCTCTCATAGCTGGATGCTAGCTTCGAAATCCTAGATACTGATGCTTCAATTAGTGCTGTAGACAAATTTTCCAGTTATTTAACCCCACTGACTATTCCTGAAATTGAGGCTGAAAGAAAATTTCCAAATGGACCTCTGAAACTTTATTTTTTGAGAAACAGTAAGACTTACCAGCGACATAGGAAAATGTATAGTTTGTTCTTTTAGGATAATTCCATCATTAACATCACTATTTCCATTAAATGGAATAATGAAGCTCAGGATTTTAAAAAACTAGTTCTCATGTGACTTGAGAAATGAATAATAGGTATATTTTCCAGTTCTGTGCTAGAACCTGTCTTTCCCCCACCCAGTGAATCAAACAGGCATTTCAATTTCTACATCGCTGTTTAAAAAAGAACTAAGTATTGAAACAAAGAGAACTAGGGTAATTCTAGGAATTCCATGTAAATGCAGGAAGAGAAAAAGAGGGAGGGAGAGAAAAAGAGAGCAAAGAACAGAGGAAGAAGGAAGGAGTGAAAAGAGTAACAGAGAGGTGTAGACACATACAGAGATTGAGATGTTTAGTAAACCAGTTTATTGATGTTTCATACATATATATTTATATATGTAATAATTTATGATAATACCATAAATGAGTCTGTATTTTGACATAGTCAAAGACATTTTAAAGTCATCTCAGTTGCTAATTAGATAAACTCTTTGACTATTACAGGTAAGAAATTATTTTAGTCATTGTTTTAGATATAAAGTATGCACCTTCTCTAAAATCAAGCGGTGAGCAGTGGCAGAGCCAGGATAAGAATGTCTAGCCAGTCAGGAATTCTGAATAAATTCAAAAAGGCCCAATTCATCACATAAAGATCTGAATGACTAACCCATATCAGACAATGTTTAAATTAGTATGGTCAGATATTAATCAATATGTGAGTTGGCTTTACCTTCACTAAGCATTCCCTGTGTCATCAAGAAATGGCAGTGAAAATGATATCATTCCCAAAATAATTGCATAATGAATTACCATATGATCCAATAAATGTGCCTTTGGTGTTGCAGCCAAAAGAAATGAAAAAAGGCACTTGAATACATTTTTTACATACATATGCTCAAAGCAGCATTATTTCTAGTAGCCAAAAGATGAAGGGCCAAAGTACCCCTTGACATAATAATGGTTGAATATGATGTGGTCTATACATATGGTTAAAGTTCTTCAGCCTTTGAAAGCAAAGAAATGCTAATACATGTTACAGCATGGATGAACTTTGAGGAAACTACTAAGTCAAATAAGCCAGTCACAAAGGCAACATGAGTGAATCAATGCCTATGAGAACGTCTGCATAATGGAAGCATGACTACAAAGTAGAGGAGTGGTTGGGAAGGCCTGGGAGGAGATGGAGAGTCAATGCTCAGTGTGCACAGAGAGATTCATCTTTCCAACATAAAACAGTTATGCAGAACAGTGGGGGGAATGGCTTAAAACAACATGAATATTACTTAATGACACTGAAATGTACATAATGCTAGAGATAAATAATGCCTAGCTAGTTTTGAAAACCAGAGGGAACCATATTACTCCTACAACCTACTGACAAATTATACATAGCAGATCAAGAAATATATGTCTCAGTAAGGTTTATTTGAGAAAAATTGGTCTTTGCCCAAGAGTTATCTACATGGCACACAGTAATGAAAAGTATCAGACTGGTGGAACTAACCTTCTTGGATGTTTAACAAACATACTCT